GCGTCGTACAGGGCTTTAGCAGTCTTGTGCTGGCCAAAGTGAGCGCGTTCGGCTAACGGCAGGTGGTTGCGAACGGCTAAGCAAGCAGCAGCGTCACGGGTAAGCCACAGTGAGCGAGTCGCACTGTCAGCTGTGTCGGGAGGTGCGAGAGAGGCTCCAGACATGTGGTCAAACAACGAAACGCTGTCTCTAGAATCGCTCAATAGGTACAGTTGTAAGTCATCGAGCCACGTATTGAACTGGATCGGACGGCCCTCATGATCGAAGGTGAGAACACAGAGAGAAGCCATAGCGGGCAGAGCAAGGTGGCGCGCGACCAGCAGGGCAGCACGCAGGGAAGGACGGCGCGACGGGCAGGGCGGTGCGCGAGCACTAGGGAAGCGCGCAGGGTAGGGCGGGGCGGCGCACGGCTAGGGAAGAGCGGAGCGCGGCCAGGGCAGGGCGGCCAACTGGCAGGGCAGGGCGGCGGTCAGCAGGGCGGCGCGCGGGCAGGGCAGGACGGTGCAGCGGCTAGCAGGGCGGCGCGCGGGCAGGGCAGGGCGGCGCGGCGGCCAGCAGAGCGGCGTGCGGGCAGAGCAAGACGGCGAGGCTGCCAGCAGGGCGGCGCGCGGGCAAGGCAGGGCGGCGCGGCGGCCAACAGGGCGGTGCGCGGGCAGGGCAGGTCGGCGTGGCGGCAAGCAGGGCGGCGTATGGGCAGGGCTGGGTGACGCGACGGCCAGCAGGGCGACGCGACGGGCAGGGGAGGGCGGTCCGCTACCAGCAGGGCGGCGCGACGGGCAGGGCAGGGCAACGCTCGGCCAGCAAGGCGGCGCGACGGGCAGGGCAGGGCAGCACGACTCGTGGGGCAGCGCTACGGGTTGGGAACTATGCGGTGGGCCCTATTAAATCGGTTATGGAACAGGACCTCCTCTGAAACTATGTCAAGAAACTAAACGAGAATGAATGCATTGAGCAGAAAGTTGGTACAAGTGCTTACCCTAATTCGGTTGTACCACTTATTGGCTACCCCACTACAGTCTACACAATATAAGCATTATAACATTTTGACAGTTACAGGTGCAATGGATTGAGATAGCGAGGATTGCACTAGGTGTCTAACGAGTACAAAGTATGAGCGATGGCATGTGTGAATACTTATGTGCAAAGACATTCAATAGTTACGCGGTGCGTGCGAGCTAGCCAGTGCTAGGTTGGCATCGAGGTTCGGGTTAGTCCCGAAGCGTAGGCCGACTCGGTCATGCCAGCGGTACATGGTTTGGTAAAACAGTGCACGCGAAGTTGGCGAAGCCCCGTTAGCAGTAACGGGCGAACACCGACTGCTGCTGTACGCGATGTTGAAGAACGCGGTAAGGAATGCCAAAAACATTCGTACACATCATAAGGGCGGATTCCTAACTTCGTGTCATCCGGTTTTTTTTTCCCATGCCAAGGGGTTTTCCGATTCGACTTTGGGTCATCCAACATGGCATATTTGGGGTCCCAGATGTCCGGATGACACAAGGGCCGGATGACACGAGGACAGGAATCCGCCCTAATACCAGACCCATTTTTGGGCGACTGTCGTAGGCCGTTTCGGCGCTACCGGTACGCCGTCAACTGTTCTCATTTGCGACCGTGTTCGCGAAGAGGTTACCTGTCGCCAACCATCTATCTGGAAATAGGTAAAACGGCCGAAAGCTAGGTCTAGGCTCGTCAAGACCTCGCCCGTAGCTCGTCTAGGTTCGTCTATGAAACCTCATGCTTTCGATCGGATGAAATTGCCCTGGGCAGGTTGGGCGGCCTGCCCAGGGCATCTCGACTGCATTGCGCCTTGCCCGCCACGCCATTCCCCCATGCTTGTTTCTGCGAGTAAAGTTAGCCGTGATCCAGCTGATCGTTGTGTGTTTCCTACTCTGCTGTACCCATTTCGTTGGATGTTGGAGCATCGACAACGCTCTCGCGCCATACTATAGTGACTACCACGATACTTCTGAGAGCCACTTCTGACTGCCACCTAGCCAGCTGAGAGTCTCTTTGCCACAGTGTGGTCGATACGTGTGACTCGCACGCGCGCATTCATCATCGCCCTCGCATCATCGCCTGATCGCGTCATTCGTGCTCGTATCATCCCGGCCAATATCCTCCTTCTGGCGAGGCCCGCCATCCCATTGCGACCTCGCGACCCTTGGCCTGGCGACGCTTGCGCGTCTCCTGCGATGGAAAATATTTCGAGAGAAGTTTCGTCATGCAATGGATCGTCGCCACGTGAAGCCGAGCCAAACATATTCCCGCCGAATCCTTCCGAGCAAAATAATATCCGCTCGAATCCATCCGAGACGAGTATATGTCAGAATATTATGTTTCTCTAGTCTGCAGTGGGGTACTCTGTAGTGAGTACAACCCTGTTAGGGTTTGCTATATGTATCCCAATGCTTTCTAGCGCAATCATCCTCACTCATTTCATTCTCGATTCTCACATGGTATAGAGCGATTTCGATCAAAGGGCCCACCACTAAAAAAAATAAAATAAAAAAAATTACCTGCCTGTCGCGCGCGTCGCGCCTGCCCTTCGAGACCCCTTTGCGGCCCGTCGCAGCCCCCTGCACGGCCCGTAGTGGCCCCCTTGCGGCCCGTAGAGGCCCCCTTGTGGCCCGTAGCGGCCCCTTTCGCGGCCCGTTAGGCCCCCGTCGCGGCCCGTTAGGCCCCTTCGCGGCCCTTTAGGCCCCCCTTCGCGGCCCGTTAGGCCCGTCGCGGCCCCTTTCGCGGCCCGTTAGGCCCCCGTCGCGGCCCCTTCGCGGCCCGTTAGGCCCCTTCGCGGCCCCCTTTACGACCCTTCGCGCCCCCCCCTTCGCGGCCCGTTAGGCCCGTCGCGGCCCCTTTCGCGGCCCGTTTGGCCTCCGTCGCGGCCCCTTCGCGGCCAGTTAGGCCCCTTCGCGGCCCCCTTTCCGACTTGTAGCGGCCCCTTCGCGGCCCGTTAGGCCCGTCGCGGCCCCTTCGCGGCCTGTCCCGGCCCTGCCCCGACCCTGTCGCGGCCCCGTCCCGGACCTGCCCCGACCCCGGCCCTGCCACGACCCTGTCGCGGCCCCTCGTCGCGGCCCACCGTCGCGGCCCCTTCGCGGCCTGTCCCGGCCCTGCCCCGACCCTGTCGCGGCCCCGTCCCGGACCTGCCCCGACCCCGGCCCTGCCCCGACCCTGTCACGGCCCCTCGTCGCGGCCCACCGTCGCGGCCCCCTGTCGCAGGCCCCCGTCTCGGCCCCCCGTCGCGGCCCACCGTCGCGGCCCCCCCGTCGCAGGCCCCCCCCCCCCCCCCCCCCCACCGTCGCGGCCCCCTGTCGCGGCCCTGCCCCGACCCTGCCCAGGCCCCGCCCTCCTCATGCCGGTCGTGGCACACCAGGGGCCCGTGCACCGCCCCCCCCCCCCCCTTTTCCCGTCGCCGTGCGTGGCGAGCGGGGGGGGGGGGGGGGCTGGGGGGGCGCACGTCGCCCCTTCTTCCGCCTGCTCTGGCGCCCTGGGAGGCCGCGCGTCGGCCCCCGTACTCCTCCCCCCCCCCCCCCCCCCCCCCCCCCCCCCCCCTCAGGTCGCCTCAACAGGCGACGGGAGGGGCGACCTTGGGGGGGGGGCACGCGTCGGAGCAGCCGCCCCTGGTGCAGCCGCCCCTGGAGCAGCCGCCCCTGGTGCAGCCGCCCCCGGTGCAGCCGCCCCTGGAGCAGCCACCCCTGGTGCAGCAGCCCCTGGAGCAGCCGCCCCTGGTGCAGCCGCCCCTGGAGCAGCCGCCTCTGGTGCAGCCGCCCCTGGAGCAGCCGCCCCTGGTGCAGCCGCTCCTGGACCTCAGCAGCCGCCCCTGGCCCCTGGCCCCTGGAGCAGCCGCCCCCCCCCCCCCCCCCCCCCCAATCTCTCTGCAGTGGGGGAGGGTATGGGGGTGGCGGGTGTGGCCAACCCGCCAGCCCTGCTGCGCCCCGCGCGCCCTGCTGCCCTGTGCGCCCCGTGCGCCCTGCTGCCCTGCTGCCCTGTGCGCCCCGCGCGCCCTGCAGCCCTGTGCGCCCCGCTGCCCGTTGCTGCTCTCCCCCCCCCCCCCCCCCCCCTTCTTCGTCTCCCTGCTGCGCGTGCAGCCGTTTAAAGGAGGGTATGGGGGTGGCGGGTATGGGGGTGATGGGTGGTATGTTTCCCTTCCCCTCCTCCTCCTTTGTCTCCCACTGCTGCAGCTGCCGCTGAGGGGGGTGGATGTGTGGGAGCCAAAGGCATGGTGCTAGGGGGTGGGGTGTGAGTGAACCTAGGGGTGTAGCAGGGGGTGTGTGAATGGGGGGTGCGGCAGTAGAGGGAGGTTGGGTGGAGGTAGCCGTCGTGTTGCTAGCAGTGCCAGTAGTCCGGAGGTGCGCTTCCGGTAGCCCAGTGATGCCGCTGCGCCAGTCGCCCGTGGGTCCGTTGCTCCTGCCGCTCGTCTTAGCCGCGGAGCCAGTTACTCCTGTAGTCCGGAGGTGCGCCTCCGGTAGCCACAGTGCGCGCCGCTCCTGTTGCCCGTGTGTCTGCAGCTTCCGCCGTTGCCTCCTCTCTCCTCTCCTATTAGTCCAGCCTCCTCCTCCTCACTTGCCCTCTGTGATAGCCTCTAGCTTTGCTTATTTATTGTGAACTTTAAACTGTTACTTCTTGTACTTGTGCTCAGAATGTGTGGTGACATTGTGATCCACCCTGAGCTTGCTTTGCTTTGCTTGTTGTGCTGATCATACCCCACTTTGACTATGGGGGTGTGTCAGAATATTATGTTTCTCTAGTCTGCAGTGGGGTACTCTGTAGTGAGTACAACCCTGTTATGGTTTGCTATATGTATCCCAATGCTTTCTAGTGCAATCATCCTCACTCATTTCATTCTCGATTCTCACAGTATATTCGACCCGGGTCTAGCGGAACAGCCTGTTCGCCCGCCCACTCCCCCCGGGCCGCGCAGAGCGGAGGCAGGTGGTGGAGATGGGGCGGAGGAAAAGGCGTGGGAGCCGGTGTTGGTCGATGGGGCAGACGCAGGTGTTATGCGTGGCGATACTTCCACCACTACTACTAGTAGTAGTAGTATGCCGCCGGATTTGCGCGAGGAGGAAGAGGGGATAGCGGATCCGCCACTGAGCATCTTCTCAATTGTCACCTTCTCATGGGTAATTCCCCCTCCACCCCCCCACCTCCCCACCTCTCCCCCCCCCCCCTCCTTCCCGACCCCTCTTTTATTAGTCCTTCTCCTCCTCCTCAGTCTCCTCCTCCATTTCTCCTTCCCTGTCCATCACTCGCTCGTCTCCTCTGATTTCTTCCCCATTCGAGCCAACCCCTTGTCCTTCTCTTCCCCCCTCCACCCACCAGCCAACCCCCTCCCCTTTTTTTTTTATCTTCCCACTCCCCCTCCTGCCTTCCCGCTCGCTCCCTCCGCTCCCCCCCAGCTCTCCCCCCTGATGACGCAGGGCGTGCGCCAGGTGCTAGGCCCCAGCGACCTGTACCCACTGCCTTCCGCCTTCTCCGCGCAGCACCTGGGGGCGCAGCTCAGCGCGCTCTGGGCAAAGCGCAATCCGCCCCCCGAGCAGCAGCAGAAAGGGGGGACGGGTGCGGGGAAACATTTGGGAGGGGGAGGGGGGTGGGCGGGGGGGTACTGGGCGGTGTGTGTGTGGCCGTTCCGGTGGCGGCTGGCGCTGGTGGCGCTGCTGATAGTGGCGGAGTCCGCCCAGCGCATCCTCCCCGCCCTCCTGCTGCGCCAACTGGTGAGCGGGTGGACTGGGGGGCAGAGAGGGGAATACGGATTGGGAGGGGGAGGGTGGGTGAAGGGAAATGGTCCTGATGGTGGTGGTGGGAGGGTGGAAGGGAGCTGGATGGAGCAATGTAGGTAGGATCCTGGGAGGCTCTGGTGGTAGAAAGAACATGGAACAAGGGGAATTCGAGGAAGGGGTTAAGGGGTTTAAGGCGCCTCAAACGTCAGTTATGAGACTTCTCAAACCTCTCCCTCCCCCCTTCCTCCCCCCCCCCCCCCTCTGCCCCGTTCATCTCGCCAGCTTCGCTTTGTGCAGGATGCGCAGGACCCAGAAACGAGAGACCCTGCGTGGCGGGGGTACGTGCTGGCGGGGCTGATGGGGCTGCTGACGCTGGCCTTCGCGCTGCTGCACCATCAGATGTGGAACCTCGCGCAGATCGTGGGGTGGAACCTCAGAGTGGCTTCCATGTCGTTCAGTGAGTGCGCTTGCCTTTAGTATCCATGTTCTTTAGGCTTTAGGGTTTCCCTAAAGCCTGAAACTTAAACTCGATACCCTAAAATTGAAGCATATGGAGCTTGCATTGAAATGGGAGGGCGCACGGTGCTGGATCGTCGTAGGCACATGGAATGCTTCACTGCTGCACCAACAGATCAGGAACCTGTCGCATTTATGAGCCTCAGTGAGTGCATTTCTCGAGAATTCTGATGCACTCTCGGCTCGGCCCCCTTTCCCTGTCCCCCCGACTTTAACCCCCCCTTCCAGACCCCCTCTATTCCCCCTTCCCCTCCCCTCTCTCCCCACCAGTCAACAGTAAGCTGCTGTCAGTGAACGGAAGTTTGTATCACCACGGTCCACAGGGCATTGCATCACGCTCATGTCCCACAACACTCACCTCCTCTACCTCCCCTTCCCCTCCTCCCCCTTCCATCCCCCCTCCCCTGGCCCCCCTCCCCTTGTCTACCATCCCCACCCCACCCAGTCAACAGCAAGCTCCTCTCGCTGAGCGGGGGAGCACTGAACCACATCACCACAGGCCACTGCATCACGCTCATGTCTAACGACGTGCGCCGCCTCGACGAGCTCCCCATGTTCATCCACTTCCTCTGGGCGGTACGTTCTGCTCCTCGTTTGCTGCCCCTCCAGTCCTCCCCCATTCTTTGACAATTGTCATTCTTCTTGATTGGGCCCCTGACGGCCTGCTCTCCCCTCCCCCCTGCCCTCGCTGAGCTGTTGGTGCAACCCTACGGTTTGCACTCGGCTTGTTGTCCGTGTGCGTGAATGTGTGTGTGTATGGAATGGTATGAGGGCATGGGATAATATATATTTCATGCTTATAATTGTGTGTGAATGTTGAGTCATGATGTCGAGTGTGTGTGTCGAGTCAATAGCGAGTTATCGCTAGACGCGTGTTACGCGGTCGTTTGTGTCTCGCGCGCGGTTTCTATTTTGTCGTGCGCGGTTTCTATTTTGTCCTGTGTCGAACGTTCAGCGTGTAGCAGGTGTGTGCAGCAGACCCATCAAGAACTCAAGGATGAGTTTGTGATGAAGAGCCCGAGCCTTGGTGTCAAGCCTCAAGTGATTTCGAAGCTCGCCAAAAGGGTGCACCTCAAGATATTGAAGATAGTTACATTACTTTGTGTAGTGTAACATTTCACTTGGTGTAGGCCCTAGTGAAGGGTAGTTTCGAGACCCTTCGTGGTTGGGGACAGTGTGGCACTGTTCCACATCACTGTACCTCGGCTCTTGGGGTTTGTAGGAGCTGGGAGTCATTCCCAACTCGTAACTCTTCCTATCTTGTGTTCTAAGACTATAGTGGCTGCCATAGTACCGTTCGTTCAAACCGACGCTGTGTCGTCAATTATTTATCAAATCGTGCAATCTAAATTGCTAATTGTAGACGACGTGAAGACGCTCCAGATCCAATTTGAATCAAGTCATTTTCAGCTGTGAGCAGAACGCTATCAACGTTTGAAGCCGCTGTGCAGAAATCCGTCTGTGCTCTCTATCTTTCGTTTTAGGCACATTCAAGCCTATTGTGACTATAACAAGTGGTATCAGAGCCCCTTGGAGCAGTTTCGACAATTTCTGGACCTTAGGAAAGGGGTGGCAGAGGTGCTGGTGGCAGTGGAGAAGCCCAAGCTCAAGGCCAACCCCGTGACTCAGCCATGGCGCCCGTGCAACCAAGTGTTGGCCCATCTAGGGACGAGCCTAGAGTGTTTGGCCTTGACAAGTTCAACGGTGACAACTTTGCTGAGTGGTCCTTCAGAATGGAGAACGTGTTTGATCACTATGACTTGCTGGAGGTGATGGAAGGAACGGAGAAGCGCCCCGAGAACGACCCGGAGAAGAGCCCGTGGGTGCGGAAGAGCGCACAAGGCTACCTCCTACTAGGGCAAGCGTTGGGGAGCAGCCAGATCCGTCACATCAAGCCTTTCCAGCGTGAACCAGAGAAGGGACCAAAGGCATGGGCTGCTCTCAAGGGTGTACATGCTCCTGCAACAGCGGCGGTAGCGGTGGTGTTGGAACGGCAAATGGCGGCACTACGAATTGAAGAAGACGAAGCGGTTGAAGAAGGGGTGCAGAAATTCTTCGACTTGTTGACGCGGCTTGAGGGAGCTGATTTGAACTACAGTGAGCTCCAAAAGAAGACCAAGTTGCTGGCCTTACTCCCAGAGTCATGGTCCTCGCTCATCATCAACCTTAATCGCGACTTGCCCCGCCTCTCGCTTGAAGACGTGAAGCGAGCTATCCTTCAAGAGGATTTCCGCCGCCGTGAGTTGGCGAGTGCGGATGGCGCTGGGGCAGCGAGCATCGGCCGTGGATATGGTCGAGGAAGAGGCAGAGGACGAGGGGGAGGAAGGTTTGGTGGCAGCAACTTCGGCGGAGGCCGCAGGAGTGGCGGTTACGGCAGCGACGACAAGAGCTACGGACGCGGTCGCGGCCGATTCGACGGCGAGTGTCACTATTGCCACAAGAGCGGACACATGTGGCGCGACTGCTACAAACTCCCTGATGGTTGGACCCCTGCTCAAGTCCAAGAGGGTAGAGGAGCAGGAGGAGGGAGAGGACGAGGCCGTGGAGGCCGTGGCGGTCGCGGTGGCGGAGCTGCAAACATGAAGAGCGGAGACAACGACAAGGACCCGAGCGACGATCGATACCCGGGTCTATTCTACTTCGTGTCGACGCAAGTACCGGCTGGTCCAGAGAAGGATGAAGGCTTTGAGGAGCCAGCAGCTGTGGGGAAGGTGACCCTACACCCCCTGGACTATTGGGTGATTGATAGTGGCGCTACCTATAGCATGACACCTCGCCCGGACTTGCTCACCGAACTCGAGCCGTCACCGGTGAAGCATGTCACATCGGCTTTGGGGCAGCGAGCAGAGGTGAAAGGCATGGGCAAGGCCATGTTCAAGGGTGCTGATGGGAAGATGGTGGGCCTCAAGAACGTGCTTTGGGTGCCCAGCCTTGCTGCAAACCTGATTTCCGTGCGGCGGCTGGCAAAGGCCGGCATGGACACGAACTCGAAGGGAGCCAAGACCTACACCGCAAGGCTTGGCGATCGAATTCTTTGGGACCTTCATGAGGACAGGGATGTCTACAACGAGATGTGGCAGATCCCAGTGGTCCCTATGCCTAAGGAGAGGCAAGTGGCAGCAAGCATCAGCACCAAGGATGGAGCGGTCGGTAGCGACGATGGCGCGAACGGTCGCGCTAAGGAGAATGAGCTCAAGAAGAGCAAACCTGGAGGGACCAGCAAGTTTAGTGAACCTATGGAGAGTGGTGCAGCAACCAAGGAGCAGCAAAAGGGTGAGGAGAACCCAGAGGCAGCAGCGGAGGAGGACTACGGAGAGAGTATGTGGGGCGCTATTGCGAGCGCGGCATTCTCCAATCCAACTTCGGCTACGGGGGAGTGTGATTGGCTCACCTTGCATCGGCGCATGGGGCATGTGGCCCTGCCCATCTTGCAGCAGCTAGTGAATAATGAGATGGTTGCTGGCATACGTGTGAAGGGGGAGCCCGATGAGGTGCTTGGCTGCCCGACGTGCATTCAAGCCAAGTTCACCCGGTTTCCGTTCCCTAGTTCGGAGGCAACGGCAAAGGCACCGCTTGATGAGGTGGTGATGGACGTGGTGGGCCCCCTGAAGCTTGGAGCTGCTGGAGCTGAGTATTTTCTCACCATTGTCGACGTCTACACCCGCATGACTTGGGTGTACGTGCTGGCCAAGAAGAGCGACGTGGCTGAAACGTTGAAGACGGATTGGTCCCCGATGGTGGAGCGGCAACAAGACCGTCTAGTCAAGTCAATCCGCACCGATCGAGGGGGAGAGTTCCTGAGCAAGGAGTTTGGGTTGTGGCTGAAGAAGAATGGTATTCGGCACTCCCTCACCATGCCATACTCCCCTGCAATGAACGGCATCGCCGAGCGAGCGAACCGCACAATCACGGAGGCGGCACGCGGGTTGCTCATTGAAGCCGGGCTACCCGACTATTTCTGGCCTGATGCGGTGCGGAGCGCGTGTGTGGCCAAGAACAGAGCCTTGAATCATGTGGGAGCAGACAAATGGGTGCCCTATGTGGAGTGGCTAGGAAGGAAGCCAAAGGTGGATATGCTTCGGGTGTTCGGGTGCATGTGCATGGCACTCGTGCCTAAGCATCTTCGGCACAACAAGCTTGGTGCCAAGGCGGTGTGGGCCGTGCACTTGGGCATGGCTCAAAACAGCAAGGGATGGCTTCTTTGGGACCCATTCACCAAGAAGTTCTTGGTGAGCAGGGACTGCAAGTTCATGGAGAACTTCATGTACAAGGATTGGAAGGCGGAGAATGAGGCGAAGATAGGCGTGCGGTTTGGGGAGGTGAAGAGTTCCGGTTTGGAGCATGTGGAGCTGCCTTTGGAGCTGAGCAGCGGCAGCACAACCACAAGGCAATCCTCCCTTGTGAATGGGGGAGAGGAGGCCAATGATGCAGAGGAAGAAGAGGAGGAGGTGCAGCAAGTGAGCGAGCGTGCACCGTCACTCCCTTCCCGTACTACGAGTGCTCCACGGATTCGAGCCACACCGCAGCAACGCCAAGGCCTTCAAGTCCCTGCAGCTGAGGAGGAAGGAAGGGGGAAGAGGAGAGTTCAACCCCCTAATAGGCTGACCTATGATGCGCTGGGAGAGATGCCGGGAGAACCAGCAACTCTCAAGGAGGCTTTGGAGAGTAGTGATGCTGAGGAGTGGAAGAAGGCCATGGAGAGTGAGCTGAAGAGCATCGAGGAGAATGACACGTTTGAATTGGTGGAGCTACCGGAGGGGCGTACGGCGATAACGTCCAAGTGGCTCTTCAAAATCAAGTCGGATGCCGACGGCAAGATCGAGCGCTACAAGTCTAGGCTTGTAGCCAAGGGGTACCAGCAGAAGGAGAAGGTGGACTTCAAGGAGCTGTTTGCCCCTGTGGTGAAGCCGACGACGCTGCGAACCCTATTCGCGGGAGCCGCCATCAAAGGATGGGTAGTAAAGCAAATGGACATCGTAACGGCATTCCTTAACGACATCCTTGAGGAGGAGATTTTTATGGCACAGCCAGAGGGGTTTGATGATGGTAGTGGCAGAGTGTGGAAGCTGAAGAAGGCCCTCTATGGGCTGAAGCAGGCCCCTAGGCAATGGTACATGAAGCTGCGCGAAGTGTTGGAGGGGATCGGCTTCACTCCCTCAACGGCCGATCACTCCTTGCTCATGCTTGGCGAGGGGGAGCAGAGGAGTTTCATGGTGGTTTATGTGGATGACATCCTCATTTTCTCACCCTCTTCTGACCTTGTGAAGGAGGTGATGCTGAAGCTTCAAGACAAGTTCAAGTGCAAGGCCCTTGGTGACGTGAGCTTCTACCTTGGGCTCCACATCGAACGAGATGTGGAGAAGCGGTGCATGCGGGTGCATCAACGAAAGTACCTGGAGGCATTGGCTGCCAACTTTGGGCAGAGTGAAGGCCATGTGGCTACACCCTTTCCCTCTGGGTTCAAGTGTGTGAAGGGACCAGAGGAGGAGAGCGTTGGTGAAGAGGAGAGGCGCCGATTTCACTCGTTGGTGGGCAGCCTCATGTATGCGGCGGTAAACACCCGACCGGACGTCGCGTTTGCTACCGGGCAGCTGGCTAGGGTTGTGCAATGCCCTAATGAGGAGCAG